ATATAAAAATTTCATCGATGTTACCACCAGCACGCTTTCTTTCAAATGAAAATATGGCTGTCAAACTATCGAATTGCCTGCAATAGATGTCAAGCAATAAGCGCTGACATATATTGCAGCACATGAGAAATAGGCGGTCTCCATTGGAAATATATTTTGTGACATAGTTATCACAACATCAGTGTTTTCCTGTGGAGACAGGGCCTTAAGCACTGTCACTGCCGCTGCCCCAGCGCTATTGTATTTTGGGCTTAATGTTATATGCGACAATTTCTCAGCAAGAAATAAATAGTCTCTTACAAAATTATGCTCACATAAGCACGTCAGGACTTAGTTTTACACTGATATACATACATACATTCATACGTATATATGTGTACATGAATTTGTTTACCACCACGTTTTTCTGCAGCAATGATTCCATAAACTGTAAAAATTAAAACAACGAAGGACACTATAGCGGATTTTACCTCCCAGTTAAACGAGGCTGTCTTTTACAAGCCTCCCTTGAAAAAATTTTCACTTAAGGATAGTTAGAAAAACTATCAATACATTGTTAGAGTTAATTCTTCATATAAATTTAGAAGAAAACATTAAATAATTTTTTTATAAGCGTCGGATGTTTTTTAGAATTGAATATTTAAAAACGCGTGAAAACATTGAGCGAATAAAAACAAACAAATGTTTAAAACAGTTCCATAAAATATTTATTTCATTTTATTTACGTGGTTTCCTTTATAAGGTGTTCATTTCTGTCCACATGTATACATATGTGCACATAAGATGCAAATGCAATTAGAATTCTTTGAAGGTAATTCTTAAAATCAGTATACGTACATATGTATATATTTATGCAGATGCGTTTTTATTGATGCTAATTTGTAGCAAACATAGCATTCGCACCTCAAAGGGTTAATATGTTTGTTTACAGTTTTTTGACATTACTAGCTACAAGGCAATTTGAGCTAGTTGTCACTTCTACCTTATTAAATATGCCTTGATTTGTAATATAAATTAATAAAGTAAACGTGAAAAACTGTAATTTTAAGTGAACGTATAGTGCATCTCAGTGTATTTAAAGTTTTTGAGGTGTTGTTTACGAACATCGATAACTGCAAAAATCGGCAAAATCAAAGTAGCGGTTTGCGGAATGCGCCCACTTCTGTTCGCTACATCGTGAGTTTTTACCCGAAAAGCGTTCTCGTATTTTTTGTTTTTTCTCTCTTGCTCCGAGGGGAATTTTGCTTTTTGACAGTTTTACAGGTTTTGTCCAGAAAAGTTGGGGAACAAAACTATTTATTGGGCATTAGGGCTGTTTAGGATGTTGCGGAAACAGTCTAAGAGATTTGCAGTTGGAAACTCCAACTTGGAATTGCATTTGCAAATTTTATGCTTGCTGTTATGGCAACTGTGTGCATTTTATTGTTGTAAATTTACAAATGCAACGAATATGCAAATGCATGAGCACATGTACAAGGTCCTAAACTGCATTATTATTTTTCAATTCGTGGGATTTTCGAAACACATGTACATATCTCTAGGACACAAAAAAAACCTGTTCATACTTAGCAATTAATGATTGCATGTGTAGACAGGGCCTAGGGTACGTTTTTACTTGTTCTAGGGCGTTTTGTGCAACTCTGTCAAATTTGTTTTCGTACCGACTTGGGCTTTTCAACTTCTGCATTTGTTTTTATTTATGCTAAATATATTTTAACGAAAAGGAATGAAACAATTGAACAAAAAATTATTAGGCTTTTCTCAAGGAAATAATTAGTGGAAATTGCAATGAAAATCGATCAGCGGGAAGCTGAAAGTGAGGGTCAAATGTTGAAGCCACCTCCTAGGGCCGCTGGTGCAGAAGAATATGCTGAAGAAAGCCCTGAGCTACTGCTAAATAAATTTTTGGATGCTGTTTCGAAATTATGTATGTAAATTCTATATTTCTAATTTATATAACTTGTTTAAACTTGGTATTTCATGTGTGCAACTTTAGGGTCACAACTGAAGCTTACAGTTACTTTTGTAATGGTTGATCTCGGTGGCTACCATTTATTCGATAAACTTATACAATGGTGTGTCAGAAATCCTCATATGGCTATTTGTTTTGTAGCTGCGCTATTAGCTCTTCTACTGCCATTTTTGATAATGTTGGGAATTGGTCTTTCCACACTACTGATGACACTTACCGGCTTTTTAATTTTAGAAGGTAATTATTTACCAATATCAGTGTGCAGATCTCTACCCCAAATTTTTTAAATTCCACATCTTACCCCACATGGCTTAAAACCTGTCACATTTTTAGACATTTGTTTACAATTTTCACAAAACTATACAAATTAATCAATACATTTCTATAAAGACATGTACATCATGAATTTTGGAAATCCACATATTTATATTTTCTAAAGTATTATGCAATGGTAAGGAGTTCTTTCTTCCATCCTATGATTTGATTAAACATACACAAAAATTTTAGTTTGTTAAAGGATGGTATATTTTGTCATGAGTGGCAGAACTGTAGACATTTTAAGTCTGGCAAAACGCACAAAAACTTAATTTTTAATTAAATACATACCCAAAAAGCATTTCTGTGTTTTTGAAAGTAACTTAAAGTAAGATTGCCACATTAATTGTTAAATAAGCATTTACTTGTAAGTTTATTTTGCTTGTTGGGTACTATGCGCATATGATATATATATCGTCGTTTAAAGTACAAAACCGCGTATCGTCATTCTGCAAAACCGCGTAAATGTCAGTGACATTTGCTGCCAAAAATTGGATTTGCTCACACAAGCCCTTGGCTCAATCCTTATCCATTCGTCCTGAAATATACTAGCCAGAAATGCGATTGCTTTATAAACAAGAGAACTATTTTGAAATATGATTGTTTTTACGCTCTAGAAAATAGTTTCTACAACTTCACATACGCGGTTTTGCATTTTGTTAATACGCGGTTTTGTACTTTAAACGACGATATGTATGTATGTATGTATACCCAATAAAAATCTGAATTGGAAAATCTACCACATCTTATTCAAATCTACAACTTTTTTCGCCGATTCTACCACACTAAAATAAAAAGGGATTTGCTCAGTGATATAACATATACATATATTTTTGTAACTTCTAATGTTTGAAAATCTAATTTCAGGTATACTTCTGTCTATAGTAGCAGCGCTGTTAATTGCTTGCGTGAGCTTTTTAGTTTTAGCAGTATTCGTTGTAAAACAGCTTAAACGAACAGCATAAATTGGAAACGGATCTTTGAGTTAGTGCCAGTATATTATTTAGTAACAATAAAATTTACTTTTATGAATCAACAGAAACTAATGTAGTATTAGCTCACGTGAGTACACATGCGTATATGTATAACCAGAAAACAAGGAAATTGTTCTAATGAGATTATAATTTCAACTCCTGAATGAAATCATAAGTAGTTAAAAAAAACGGTAATTCTCTAGGGTGGGGTAACAACCCCTAAAAAAGGTGCGGAAAAGTCGGGAGGGGTACCAAACGACGCGTTTCGGCCCCCCTAATAACAATCCGGAGGGGGGGAGATAATATTATTAACCATTTAAAAGTTATGAACAAAAAACTTTTGTTAAATTTCGTTGTTTTCTATGAGCAATTACCACGTCAAAAATGCACTAAATCACTAAAACGTTTCCGGTTATTATTTTATGCAAACCAAATCATTTATTCACTTTTATTTTATATATTTCGTTAATAAAACAGAGTAAACAAACTTTGCGCCTGCTAATACTATTATAACCTCAAATCGCTGGTATTGCCACTTTATTTCACATTTCATTTGCGCTATTATACTCAGTTTACACTATACACTTCTTCTTCTTTTTACTTTCATCTAAATAAGATATTGTAACCAAAATATAATAGCAAATTTCGCTATACCATCGCGCGATTTTTTATTAAAAATTTTCATTATATATCGAAGTATTAATTTTTATAGAAAAAGCGCCGCAGGCGAAAATTTGTAATAAAAAATCGCGCGATTTTTTATTAAAAATTTTCATTATTTATCGAAGTATTGATTTTTATGGAAAAAGCGACGCAGGCACGATTTTTTACTAAAAATTTTCATTATTTATATANTTTTACTAAAAATTTTCATTATTTATATAATTAAACGAAAGAAGATACCGAAAAGCATTGAACAGTGCACACATCTCATAAGGAAAAGTGAATTATTACGAAATACTAATACAGTGGCAGCACTATAGCTATTTTGGAATCTCGCGTTTCGGCTCGCAAAGATTGTCAACTTCTTTTTAATAACAAAATAACCTATCTTAGGTTGATAAAACTATGTGTTTCTTTAATAAATAAGTTAAATTATATATTTTAATGTGTTTAAAAAGTGAGAACAGGTGATTTAGTGAATCGAAATTTAACAAAAGTTTTTTNTTTGTCGGTGTAATTGCCCATAGAAAACAACGAAATTTAACAAAAGTTTTTTGTTCATAACTTTTAAATGGTTAATAATATTAGCCCCCCCTCCGGATTGTTATTAGGGGGGCCGAAACGCGTCGTTTGGTACCCCTCCCGACTTTTCCGCGCCTTTTTTAGGGGTTGTTACCCCACCCTAGAGAATTACCAAAAACTATTGTATTTATTTCCAAAAGTTCTTCAAAATAAAGATTAAAAAATAAATAAGTTGTTGTAACAGCATACATATTCCCCAAAGAATTTTTTGGGAGTGACAGTCCTTGTCAAGGCGATAGCAGGAGTACAAAAACAAAATTTTACATGTATTTTGTTTTTGCTTTGGCGGCATAAACTGTCAAAATCTGTAAGAGTGTGTGTAGAAATTCAAACAAGATTTTTCAATTTGATATCAGAAACCGTGCGGCGAAACACATACACAAAATCAGCTGAGCTAGTAACACCACCTTATATTAATTCGCCTTGGTCCTTGTCGTGAAAGAAATAAGTGATGGAAAGTTCTTACGGATATAGTATAGTTGTCACTACTACTACTACAACTACAAACGATGCATCGATGTTTTTGAAACATCTATAATATCGGTTAAATTTTCTATGTTTGCCATCGATGTTTACAATTTACTAACATCGCTAAATTGACGAAGCATCGATGGAAGTTTTACCGATGTTTTAAACATCGACTTTAAGGAGACTCCCCGACTTTCTTTCGGTATGTTTGACTGACCTTAAATTTATTATCCATTCAGATTTTTTTATGTTATTTATGGCCTTATATCAATTATATTATTATATTAAAAAATTTTATTGAGCTTGAGGCCGTTTCTTATGAAAAATGTTATTGAAAATCAGCAATAATTTACAAAAGGCAGAAGTTATAGCTTCTATTACGGAGATCACCACATCTCAGTGCCCGCGGTTGAAGAATTTGATTAGTAGATGTGGTGATCTCCCAAATAGCAGCTATAACTTCTTACCTTTGTAAATTATTGTTGCTTGTCCACAACATTTTTCATAAGAAACGGCCACAAGCTCAATAAAATTGTTTGATTCATTGTGAATGCTGATAACCTAACCGTTAAAACAGAACCAAAAACACCCCTTAGAATTTCAACAAGATCGGGCCTAGGATCTTTAGGCCCGAACGACCTCACGATGGTATGCATTTTGACTCTACAGGAAAATACATTCATAATTATTAAAATATTAAATATTGCTTTAATTTTAACTAGAAATTAAAAATTGCAAAACATCGATATATCGATGTTTCTCTAGCGATGTATTTTAGCCTCGATGTTCTTTTCTCCGATCCATCGATGTATCGATGTTACTGCTCAAAATTTGCATCCCTAAACTCGCCTCCCAACATCGAAAATGAGTGTCCAGCATGTGGAGATTCCCCACTTGACACCAACCGAGGTGGTCACATGCTCACTCAATCCAACTCAACTAACATCCCCCGTCTCCCTCTGTTTCTACCTCATCGAAATATCAAATCTCCTGGGCCTACCGTTAGTTGAGCCTGAGGACAATTACGGGCTAAGTAAGCCCTTACAACAATAACAACTGTGTCTTTTATGCATTATTTTTGAGTGAAAACAGAAGTCCATCATGACAAAAACCCGACAAAATATAAAAATAATTAAAAATCGCGCGCAGCTTGGCAAATTTATGAGCTTCAAGCGGCTTTTGTACGGTGGGAGATTTAATGTCGAGTCCCAAGGCAAATTATTTAATGCGAATGATAAGAATTGTTTCTGTACCGACTCGAGTCTGTCAGAGTGCGTTTGATATCTAGGGTTCCATACGACGGACCCGTATTCTAAGATCGGCCTGACTAAGGAGGTGAAGAGAGCTTTAGTGACATAAGGATATCTGAATTCTTTAGCCCAACGTTTGATGAAAGCCAAGACGCCCTTGGCTCTATTAACACAAAAGTTTACATGGGACTTGAATTCAAGCTTAGAGTCCATGGTTACGCCTAGATCGATTAAATTAGTTACCTGATCAACACTATGTTCACAAATGCGGTAGCTATATGATTGAAAGCGTTTTCTAGAGAAACACATAAATTTACACTTTTGCAAGTTAAGTGACATAGAATTTACTTCGCACCATTTAAACACATTACTAAGGTCCACCTGTAATTGTTTCCTGTCTCCTGGGGCACCAATGAACTTAAATAACTTAACGTCGTCTGCGTACATTAAGCAATTCGAATACTTCAAAATATTTGGAAGATCGTTGATGAATAAAATAAACAGAAGGGGACCAAGGTGGCTACCTTGAGGTACATCTGACGTCACATGAATTACACGATATGAAATTTTTTTTAAAGATAACCCTCTGTTTCCTGCCAATTAAATAAGAAGAAAGACAGCGCAGCAGGATTGGAGGGAACCAATTTTATCAAGTTTGTATATTAGAGTTGAATGAGATACTTTATCAAAAGCCTTGCTGAAATCAGTCTAAATGACGTCAGTTTGATAATTACTTTTGAAACCATTGTTCACATTTGTAGTGAATTGAAGAAGGTTTGGTACAGTTGATTTACCTTTACAAAAGCCGTGTTGTGATACATCGATAACGGGTGTTATCGAATAAGATAGTTCTTCCGTAACGATTTCTTCAAATAATTTAGGAATGGCACACAGCTTTGCGACTCCCCTATAATTCGCAATATTCGACCTGCTTCCATTTTTATAAAGCGGCAAGGTATACGACTCCTTCCAGAAAGAGGGGAAAACTCCTTGCATTAGAGAAGCATTGAAGACGTTTGTTAATGGCTTATATAGATAATCAGCACAACTTATTAGGACACAGGAGGGAATAAACTATTCAAATGAAGGAGAAGCTTGTCAGCGGAGATTGAAGGAATACGGATGTGGTCAAACTGTGGGAGTGGAAAAGGATAGCTAGAAGTTTTTTCATTTGGCTCGACAGAATAGTTCGATTCAAAATAATTTGCAAACATATCAGCAATCATATCATCATAACTAGAAATAACATCATCTAATTTCAGTGTTGAGGGAAACCCATTTATTTTACGTTTTGAGTTAACAAAATGATAAAATGACTTGGGATTAGAAACGATGTTAATGCGAGTTTTATTAATGTAATTCCTGTAACATTTTCTGTTTAAGGCATTGTATTTATGACGAAGGGTGGCGTATGCGGCGTAGTGAGAAGACAGGCCTGATTTTTTATAAAGTTTAAATGATTTAGTTTTCTGATTTTTTAAATGCTTTAGCTCTGAGTTAAACCACAACGAGTTACGAGGTCCGGTATTTTCTTTAACAAGAGGAATGAGTTTACTGAATATATTATTCAAGATTTTACTAAAGTGTAAGGCACTGTTCTCAACATCCCCATCGTACTCAGGCCAGATTATTTCAGATATAGCTATTTTAAGCTTGTCGTAGTTAGCGTATTTGAAAGAATATCGCCGACCTTTCGGCTTTCTAGTTTCAGAACAATAACATGAATCGTAGGATGGTGCCAAGGACAACTCAAGTGGTGGGTGATAAGGGTCTATAGGTATAACTAATGGATCGCCGCGTATTATAGTCAATTTATCAGTATCATCAATAAATACTAAATCAAGACATTTACCTAAGTTGCTGATAACTGAATTAATCTGATATAGACCAAGATCGGAAAGTTCGTTAAGAAAATGGTTATGTACATCCCGAGAAGAATTTGGCACCAGAATTCCATCCACCGAATCCCAGGAAACACATGCTAGATTGAAATAACCCAACACAACAGTCGAATCGGAGGGCGTGACCATGGCAAATAAAGAGAGCAATAATGAAGAATGTTTGAAGTAAACCGAAGGGTTAGAGTTTGGTGGAATATAAATTGCGAATTCTTAGAAATAAAGTTACTGG